AAATCATTCGTTGAATATGTATGAGTTCTAATAATAAAACAATGGAACCAAACCTCTCTGACTGATTAAAAAAAAGCAATCGCTATTATTAAGAAATATCTAGTTAGGACAAGGAGGTTTTTTTTTTTTTTTTTTTTTTATTAAACTGTAAAAAGTTGAAAAGTCCTTGATTAGGTTTGTTGAAAGAGACGGACGCAGGATTTTGCCGGGAGGGTGCGAGTGGAGCCAGGGGAACTGCTTAAATCGCATGAGGGTTAGAGGAGAGGACGACGTCCTTAACAGCCGCGAAGAAGCTTTTTCATCCGATTAAATAGGTTTGCGTTAATTTGTGGAACCAGTGATAGCGAGAACAAATTCACAGTAGAGGATGGTGTCCAAATTTCCCTACAGAGGGTCTATATCTACATCGGCCCGACCATGGCCATCTTTATAAAAAGAAATAAGAGAAAAAAAAAGAGGTCTTAAGGGAATTTAGAAAGTCACCAGTTTTAAACAAAGAATTGACAGTTTTAATAAGCCCCCTAATGATTAAGAAATTAAATTTTAAATTAGTTTAGTAGCCTGATTGGGAAGCCCCTCCGTGACAGCGCTTTTAGTCTCTTTCAGGTTTAAGGATTTCATTGCCACTGTTGCACTATAACCATATTTCCTCCGGAATCGATTATTTAATAATATGAAAGTGGGCGTGTTTCTTCGTCTTACCCAGCTGCCGTCGTCCTATGTTTTTTAATTTCATGATGCTCATTCATGATGTTTATATTCCGTATAATACTGTGTGGTTTTCATAATAAGATAGGCATTATCACTATATCATAAGCCTATATAATATTGGTGGTACATTCAGTGGTCTTGATTGAAGGTGAGTAAATGTATACTTCGTAGGAGCAAAGTAAAAGATGTCTTTATTTTTGTGTATGTTTGATTTGAGTCGGTGATAATAACGGCATAATAAGATAGACATTATCACTATACCATAAGCCTATATAATATTAGTGGTACATTCAGTGGTCTTGATTGAAGGTGAGTAAATGTATACTTCAAGCAAAGTAAAAGATGTCTTTATTTTTGTAGTATGTATTAAGTCAGATCTGGCAAGCTAATAACCATGTATGGTTTATGTTGTGACTGGCCTCTTCAGGTTTTATCCAAAAATAGTTTCGTAGGCACAGAAGGCGAGCAGATCTTTGCTTTTTTGGTTATGTATGAACTATAAGTCCGTGACCGAGTCTGTCCCAGCTGTTGCTGCTTCTATCACTTTTTGGTTTTTGTTTTATTACCATATTTATAGAGGGTGACCCTTCCGGCGTATCCTAGAAGGTCAGCTTATATTCAGAGGCCCTCTTAAATAAATGAAATAACATGATGCCTTTATCAGCGAAGTCTCTGTATGAGGTTTAGGAAGTGGAATTGATTTGAGTCGGTCATGAGAAAAAATGCTTCAGTCGCAGGAATTGAGCCCAGGATCCTGAGATTAGAAGGCAAGCATCATACCACTTAAGCTATTTAACTCCACTTGTACTGTAAATCTAGATTATTGGAGCCTTATAATAAAACATCTTAAGTTATAGATTAAGTGATCAGGCCGAGGAAGATTAAAATGCTAACTAACTGGGAATCGTGGGCTTTTATCTCTGATCAATTTTATGATTAACATCACTGTGTATTAATACGATGCACTTCGATTCAGTTATTACTGGTTTTGCTATTTGCAACACATTAATCGTTTAATAGGTTTATGTACTTTTATGAAATGTAATTTTAATTGAAATGCACCGATTGCTCCAGCTTATATAGGTCTTATATACGTCGACCTTTAAAAACGAGGATAAAGAAAAAAAGAACGGACGTCGACAAACATAATTCAGGAGTGAAAACTAGAGCTGGCAGATTTTCTCAGTTTAAGATATTCCACAAATCGGCAATAACTGACCACCCTGTCTTTCACAGTCATGACATCAACTGGGAGGGCAAATTGTCCAACATGAACCCAGTGTAATTAAATGAAGAATTAAAGAAACGATACAAATAAGAAAAAGGCACAGCTCAATGAATCGTTACCAGGGAGAAATTGATATCCCCAACATATACAATAGGGAGTTTTCGATTGCACGACGACGGTAGGACGAACGTAATGACGTCACTAAAAGTCATCTGCGCATGCGAGAACGTTAATTTCACCTCGTCGAGTAGATTCTGGAACGCAATATGGCCAAATCTACATATGCAGAGAACGTAGGACGCCAGGTAGGACGGTCACGCATGAGTGATTCCGTTCTAGCGTCACGTCGTCGCACAAATCGAAAGCTCCCTACTGACATCCTCCGCAGCCCCGGAGATCGTCTTTCATCAACATCGATAGATAGAGATGTAGGACGTCAAAATTTTGTGACGTCATAGTTCTCATTATTAGTCCTGAGTAAGTTTACTTTATTTATTATTATTATTACTTAGCTTAGTACAAGCGAACAATCATCCAATCCCATATAAATACTCCTTAAACGAGTGGCAAAATATATTCAAAAGAATAACACGTGAAGGAGGGGGAGGGGCATTTTTTTTTTATACATACACCTATTCGGACCAGTGGCGTATCTAGGGATATTGAAATAAAGGACTGATGGGGGAGAAGGTAAAGTGGGAGGGCTCGATGATAAAGTGGGGGGACGCTAGCGGGCAAAATATAGTGGTTTAAGAAAATCTACTACTTTTTTTTTCTAATTGGGCGACTGCGGGGCACCTCTACATAGGCCTACGCTCACAGGCCAGATTCTGAAACTTTTTCTATAGATTTCAACTACACGATTTTCCTGACTGTTGAAACATCCAAAAAACACTGTCACTTTGAGTTTGTCGAATAATAATGGGGACTAGCATAAATAACATCTAAAAATCAAGATTAGAGAGTACGTTATGATTGAATTCTCAGATTTGACTCATACAAAAAAAAGAGCCCTAGATAACCTGGCGACTGGTTTGCTGCCACCAACGTTGTAAGCCTTTCATGAATCACTGTATACTTTCCGTTTACGTCGCTCATATGTTTACCGCAGTTATTGCTGTGATTTTCTGGCACTTTCGTTTAAACACAGCTTTTCTGAAGTCTTCAATTCGCCATCCGTATAAAATTGGGGTTATCACAGAATGTGTCAATGTTATGGTTAAACAAATAATATAAATGTCAATATTAAAACTATCATCGCATCTGAAATTGAAAGAGTAATCTATAAGAATAACTATATCTAATGGCAGCCAACTAATGACAAATACACAGACGACCATTGCAAACGTTTTCAAAAGCCTTTTGGAAAGTCTAAGTTCTGGTGGAACTGTGTCCATGTCTTTCTCGTGTCTGCAGACGACAATATAAATCACACAATACGTCGCTAATACCTGTATAATAATAGTTAAATTCCAAATAGATAGAATAACCTCGATGAACGTGTCTCTCGAGACCAGTATACCAACTATTATGTATGAGAAAATCCAAAGTACAGTACAAGCTGTAATAAGTTTCTTTGGTGAATTCACATCTTGTTTGAACGGAAAGACAATGATGACAAACAGCCGCTCTATGGCAATAGCTAGGACAGTCTGGACAGATACAACAGAACAGGCCAAACCAATCGAGGTTAATATTTGTCGAATTGATGGTCCAAGCTCTCGATACAGGATCACTATCATCAAAGTAATAACAAACATGCAATCTGACACTGCTAGTGATCCCGGTAAGATGTGATGCCGTTTGCGCAAGCTTTTTTCTGATGCGAAAATATAAACACAGGCAATGTTTAAAAGAGCACTTACTGTACATGTAACACACAAAAAGATTAAGGTTGGTGTGTACTTCTCATTTGTGTCAAGTTCGTGAAAGAGAATTTCAAACAAATATAGATTGCAACTGCCGTTAACCGACGTGTTCGCCATAGTTGTAGTTTATAATATGGTTATTGATATCCAATACATGGTTGGCGTATGTGTGATCAACTAGAGTGGTTCATATCATATCACTAACTGAGAGTTCAATGCTATACTTATTAAATCGACCTTCTCAACTGATAACAAGTAATTGCTATTATTCACAATTAACCATACTAATCAATACATTAGAAGCCCCTTTATTCAAGCTTCTCATAATGAATTACGTCATGAAAATTAAAATATAGTTGTATCAACATTCAAGAAACGTGTCTGATGAGGGTTTATGAGACTGTAAGGACATTAGGTATCAATTAGCTTTAACATACCTCCTCTAAACCAACCTTATAAAAAAGCTTAACGCTTTAATATTGATATTAGTTCTAGGCTCTACATTTTAACAGCAAATTGTCACTGTGTTACTTGTTTGTCAGTCCCCGAAGTTCTAGTCTTGGCTGTTTTTGTCTGCTTTGCAGAATTTCAAGGTCTTCATCATTCCTAATCTTTTAAAATGTCTGTTATAATAGTGATTTGAGTTGAGAATAAAGAATTGCCCTGAGCGTTTTGGATTGCACTTAGTTGTCTAATTCTGCCTGAGGTGTTTTTTTAATGTACTTAATGTTTACTCTTTTTTTTATTATTGATTTGATTAATGGAAATAACAATGATGATGATGATAATGACAATGGTGACAATGACGATGATGGTGGTGGTGTGGTGAATTGGATTTTACGATCAGACTGCATTTTCTTTCAATAATCAATTTTCAATGAAATTTGACAACAAATGTAACAGTGTTTATAACTGTAGTTAAAAAAACTCACATGGAAGTAGCAGGTGTTTTTTTAAAAGACCTGCTACTTCCATGTGAGTTTTCAATAATTTACTTATGGTGGAGATGATGACGATGATGGTGAGGATGTCGATGGTGGTGACAATGGTGATGACGATCAAGATGACGATGACGGCGATGACGATGATCATCAACATTGGCAATAAGAATGATAATGATGATCACCATGTGTGGTGATGAGGGTATATATGATAGAGCAAATACAGCTGGCAATTTCAGGTAAACTGACTACTTGTGTTTTCGTCATTTTATTTTTGGCGTTTGAAACGTGCTAGTGACTTATTTCTAATATTTTTTATTCCTTTTGAATAGAACTTTACAATCGGACTACATTTTCAATAATCAATCAATTTTCAATTAAATTTCACAAAAAATGTGAAAGTGTTTATAACTGTAGTTTGAAATACTGATATGGAAAGTAGCAAGACTTTTCACAGACACCCTAACACCAATAATTTACATATAACATTTATCTATATGTTGAAGACTTTATACATTTGCTTGCCAAATTTGTTCAAGTATTAAGACAGAGATATATACTACTCTCAGTGTAGACCTACACTCCATGACTCTTGTTTTTCCTCTACAATTTGCCAACGTTAGATTAGCAAATTTACTCGCAGCAAAGGTACACATTTACTAAGATTTGCAACAGGCATAATTGAGTGATACGACTATTATTATTGTTATTTATTAATTTAGTCAAAACATGTCGTATCAGAATATATAGGCTTTTATAGCATATTATTATTTCATACAATAGGCTTTCTGATACCAAAATGACATATATCGTACAATATAAATATCATACAGTATCAGTAAGCCTACATTTTTGCTTTTCCTCGATACCCTTGTTCAAACTTTTTTGTTATATCTTGTCGAAAGATTGAAAATTTAAAAAAAATACAATATAGAAAAATATATACATGTTTAGATAAAAACTACCTATACTAATGCTAGAGTCGAAACTTATTAGTAAACTTTTCGTTATTAAAATCCTAGGTTAATCCAACGATCAATTTATAAATTGTTGAGGCGATCAAATCATTACACACTGTAACGTACATTCCACCTCTTACATGTTTTGTGTACATGCCTTATGTATACTAAATAAGAGAATAATGCAATGACAATTTTATTGTGTTCGTTAGCATTAGATCAGTAACATAATAGAAAACTTTCTGTGAAACGTTTTAACTAGACATGTTTAGGGCCTACATTATTCAAACTATTCTCTGTGTATTTTGTATTTGCTGACTGGCTTGGTAGTAGAAAGTTTTGAAAATCTCAACTTCTAAATATGCAATTTTATTCTCCACTTATTGAGCATGCCAGAACACTGAAAAAACTTGATTTTGCGTACTAGCATAAAATGTGCGAATCCCCAAGACTGCTAAAGAGTGTGATAGAATTTTGAAGAATCAACTACGCTAAGAAACACTAGGTCACCTAATTACCAGTGGCGATTGGTTTTTTGTGCCGCCATTATGAGAGCTTTCGTACATTTCTGCATACTTCACGCTCATTGTTCAAGCGTAAACTGTAGTTATTGCTGTGGTTTTCAGGCATATCCGATTGGTCACAGCTTTTCTGAAATCTTCAATTCTCCATCCGTACAAAATTGGGGTTATCACTGAATGTGTCAGTGTTAAGGTTAAACACAAAATGAATATGTCAATATTAAAATTATCATCGCATCTGAAATTGAAAGAATAATCTAAAAGATAAATTATATCTAATGGCAGCCAACTAATTTCAAATACAAAGACGACAATTGCAAACGTCTTCAAAAGCCTTTTGGAAAGTCTCATTTCTGGTGGAACAATATCCAATTGTTTTTCATGTCTGCAGACAGAAATGTAAATCACACAATATGTTGCTGATACCAGTATAATAACAGCCAAGTTCCAAATAGAGAGAATAACTTTAAATTCAAGCAACCTACCCGTCGAAATCAAAATCCCCACTGTTAAATATGAAATAAACCAAATTACGGCACAAACTGTAAAAAGATTCTTTGGCGAATTCAAATCTTTCTTGAAAGGAAAGATAATGATCACAAATAGCCGCTCTATGGCAATAGCTAGAACAGTCTCGATAGATACTACAGAAGAAGCGAAACTAATTGTGCTTAATATTTCTCGAATTGATGGCTCAAGCTCTTGATAAAAGATTACTATCATCAAAGTAATAACGTACATGCAATCTGACACTGCTAATGAACCTGTAAGGGTGTGATGCCGTTTATGCAAGCTTTTTTCAGATGCAAAAATAAAAACGCAACCAACGTTTAAGAGAGTACTTATTGTACAGGTAACACTCAAGAGTATTAAGGTTGACGTGTACTTCTTGTTCGTGTCAAGTTCATGAAAGAGAATTTCAAACAAAATTTGACTGCAATTGGCCTTAACCGACGCGTTCGCCATACTGGTATCATGAGATACTGGTACCATGACAGATTGTTATTCTAAATCTAATACTTATAGGCGGCTTCGTAAATACTCATCTGAAAGCAGAACTGAAGTGATTGACAAAACTGAATAATAGTTCAATTTATATTGTATCGTGTTTCCCTATCACCGTACTCACACCAGTCGTTGTAATATAATTTTAATAATGGAACTGTCAAACGGAATCTTGTTATCTGACTTATAAAGTAATTACTATCATTCTCGATGAATCATAGCAATCAATATCTTATTTGAACCCCTTTAACCATGAACATCAACTTAGCATGTAGCATAAACTGCATGCAAAAAATGTTAACCATAGAAACCCTCCAAACTAAATTAAAAAGATGTTCGTTTTCTGCATGTAAATAATCTAAATGAAGCGTTGCGGAATTCCGTTATCCTCAAAAGGTACAAAAATGGATTGGTCAAAGAATTTATCAGTATTAGTTCATAGCCTACCATATACAAAAGCGTAAGCTCCTTATCGCAATGATTATACACCATGTAATTATCAAAAATCATTACCATGCAGTACGGCAACCAACAGAGAGCAAAGATACCAAGAATAATCGAAAATGTCACAAACAGACGATCCGAGTTTACCTTTTTGCGCTTGCACTTAATTGCTTTCATTTTCAATTCGTGTTGGCGTACCCTCCAGTATATAGCGATGTATAGGATAATGAGAATTACGATAACACCGGTGATTAAAGATGGTTTGGTAAGATACGTTTCTGCAGTAAAATCTGCAATGTAGCCTGGAAGAGACACGGATGTGGACAACATCCAATTGAAAATACAAAGAATGACAATTGTTTTAGTGGATATCTTATCACGCTCAAATGGTTTCCACACGATGACAATGAATCGTTCTAATGCTATGAAGCCGATGGTAAGGAGAGACACAGTCACTGAAATGTCAGTTATTACAAACATTACCAGGCAAAAGACTGACTGATCCTCTTGCCTTAAAAGTGTAGCTAGGCTTCCTAGTGCAAATATCCCATCAGAAAAAGCCAAGGAACACGTAAAAATATTCTGTCTTTTTTGGAGTTCCTTGGTACTAGCAATAACGACAATGGCAGCAATGTTCACAACAGCTGAAATAGCACAAATTATTTGGGCAAAGACAACACCTACATCAAATCTGTTGAGTGCCACTCTTGATAGCCTCACTGACAAATTGCAGACTTGTAAAAACTCTTCGTCCATGTTCATAGGCCTAGCATATTCTTCTGTAGGCCTATGCATATCCGATGATCCTATATTGACCAAGTTTAATGATAGGAAGGATTTAGTACGTTCTTGAAGTAATTGCTGTATTATGTTGAGTAGGTTGCATTGAATAACTTAATATACTACAGGGTAGGCCTGCATTAACCCTTGACACTTCCAGTATTTTACTGGTGGTATTATAAACAGGATATAGTAATTCGAAATAAGTTATTTGCAATTTTGAAGGACCAATCTCATTCACTCTATTTATTATATATGAGATCTGGATTTAGGTTTAGAGCTTTTGTGCCAAACTTTAGACATTAAGCTTATAACATTTTTCTGTCGCTGCACCAAAGTTCTGGAACTCATTACCTGCTTGCGTCTGTGAAGCATCTTCTGTTCCTGCATTTAAGCACCTAATGAAAACCTATCTCTTTTCACATACATTAATTTCTCACAAACTGTAGTTTAAGACTTTGAAAACTGTCACCAGGGTAACTGCGCGTACACGGTTGTGGTTGCGATGACGTCTCAACGTTAACATCGAGAGTGCGCATTCCCCTTCCCTTCGTGTTCGCGGTTTGTTTTTTGCCAATTTTTGTTTCCAATCTAACTTCGGGTCTGTATACTGTCAGAGCCTTGAGACGATTTTATTGTGGAAGGCGCACTGCACATATTACCATTACCAACATGGGCGTCGATCGGTGGGGACAGGGGGCACGTCCCCCCAATTTTCAAAGTAAGGGGACATAATCTTAATTGTCCCCTAACTTTTCACAAATCTTCTATAGTTAAAAAGAACAAAAACAATTACGAATGACTGTCATGAATTTTGTTTGTTCATTTGTGGTCTGTTCCAAGTGCGGTGCGTATTTCCGAAAAACTATGCAGGCGTAGAGTAGAAATAAATATTAATTGCATTCCTTAAAATCAATTAGATACGACTTATAAAAGGCTATAGACGCCAGAGCTTCCGCGTTCCAGAGGCCCTAGACAGTCCCCTGGCCCCCAGCCAAAGCTTGGCCTCGGCACAAGACTTTCTTATTTTGCAATTCGTCCGACACCAACTTTCAACCACGGGTCGATGCCCTTGCCCACTTAATGGTCTTGCCGACAAATACATTTCTAATCTCCAACATAAATCTCAAGCACATTTTTGAGCAAGGCAGATGGAGACATAAAAACCTGGGTTAATGTACATTCTCATGTGCCGCCCCTACATTATGGAATGCTCTTTCTATTGGGTTTAAAACCTCATCGTCTGTCAGTATGTTTAATATTAATAAAAAGCTAAAAACTAATCTCTTCTCCATCTCATTCTAAATTGTTTTGACACGCATGTAAATTGTTTGTTTTTTGTTTTTGCATTAAAAAAATCATATTCTGACAAGCATTAATTAACATCAGTTAATGTGCAATTTGAGTAATGCCAATTTCATAGCGCCACTGAACATTGTATTCTGCCGTGGATTTTGGCAATACATAAATCCTTGTTGATTGAAATAATCAAGCGAGATCACATCCCGATTCTAAAAATAGGCCTAGCATTGCTTCATTTTATTTTTTGGCTAAGAATGTCAAATCATTTATTATTTATTTATTTACCATATTTTGAGTGGGCAACTCTTACAGAGCATGTCTGTAGTTCAGGGGCCCATTGAACATCATCATTTTCATTATGAATCATAATATTAAACAAACTGAACATGGAATAAACAAGAGTTTTGCTAGTTCAGTGTTATTATAGTATATATAGATGTTTATCCAGTCTTAACGTATGCGTCTGAGTGCTGGACCATGAAACACACTTAAGAAAAAATTCGAAGCCACAGAAATGTGACGAATGCTGAAGATACAGTGGTACACACATACCACTAATGAACGAGTTCTTGAGTTGGCAAGGACAGAAAGACATCTAATAGCCAAAAAAACAATTCAGGAAATACAATTCATTGGGCATCTGCTTAGAAAGAGAAAAATGGAACATTTAATTTTGACAGGAAAAATTGAAGAGAGGAAAGTAAGAGGAAGACCTAGAGCTATGATTATAGATAATCTGTCTCTTATACACATCTAGATGTGTATAAGAGACAGTTCTAGCTTTTAAAATGTATCAACAACAATGCAAAGATATTTTATAAACATCTGCATATAATATCCCTATTGATATGTACCAGAAGTATATAACTCTAATTTACTCTTTATTTTGCTGGTACAGCGAGTGGTGATGTTTTTGGTGAATACTTTTGGCGGGAAGACACGGTGGGACAATCGGCAGCCAATGTCAAAACCCTCACATATTGTAACCTGCATAGCATCAAACGAGAAGATCTATTAGACGTCCTGGATTTCTACTCTAGCTTTGCTAAAACATTTGACAGAAATATGGTTCTTACATACAATCTACGAAATAGGGTAAGTGATCGTTCAAGATGGATTGATAAAACAATAAAGTAAATGTCAAAACAACGTTGTGTAGCTTAATACTGATATAATATCTGTGAATTTTGATTTGATTTACTGAGCATTCAACACAGACCTATATGTAACATGCAACAATACAGATAAGCACAGATATAATCGAGGACCGATATATATATAATGTGTGTTGAGATGACGATGATGATGATAAAAATAGGTAGTTTTCGCCGCACGACGTTAATCTTAACTTTAACGTTAGTACCCAACGTGCAGCGCGATAGCTCCGCCCATTTTGTAAACAAATCGAAATACGCATGCGCAAACCCGTAACTAATGTACGTCGAGCACGTAAAATCCTGAAATTAACGTACTCCGCAACACAAGATGAATAAATTATGACGTCATCCGTTACCGTTAAGGTTAACGTCGTGCGGCAAAAACTGCCTGTTTGGAGAGCCATAACCACCAACCTTCTTGAAGGACATGGTACATAAAGAAAGAAGATAGATGCCTTTAAAACAATCGATTGTAAATTGTATTGGAGGTTTTAAATCAAATTGAAATCTCATTAAGTTCGTGGCCACAATAATGGCCTCGTATAAATATTAAAATAGGTAACAGATCAATTAGCAAATGCATTAGTATTAATTATTTACTAACCTATATTAAGCTAATGGTTATAGTTATGGCAGTGAGTACACAGTTAATAAATATGCAGTAAATAGCTGGTGATTGGTATACTTAATATATTTAATAAAGGTTTTATTTTAACAAAAAAAAAATCATTTTCAACGCTAATTAACAGATGCAAGATTAATACTTATACTATATTCCTACATTAAATAAATGCTATTTTGAATTTCATTGAATTATTCGCATGAGGCCTAGACCTTTATCTTGCTGATGGTTAATGATTTTCGTATTAAAATGTTTTGATCTCTGTCGTATTGAAAGTTGATAACAGGTTAATGAATAAGGTGTAAGAATTTCCCTATATAATGCTTACGTTCCAGTACTTTCCGTTATGTCAACTATACTAATGGAGTTGAATAGCTCGGTGGTTGAGTTTTTCAGTTTCGTAACATTTATTCAAATCGATATTCATGTGAAAGTAAACAAATAATAGCTATAAATTACGATTTAGGAATCAGATTAGAAGTTAAAAACTTGTCTCAAAACTATCCCTTAACAAAAGAGAATATTATAGATATAGATTTTTTTTTAAATAAATATATAAATAAACAACATGCAAAAAGTGTATTCCATATCAGATTATGTTTCTTTTAATTTAAAATTTTATCAAATGAACCGTATAGAACATGTGAGTTGCTTGCTTTTCAATCCCCGCTGATCCAGGGTTCAACTCCTATTAAGATAATAGAAATTTACCAAAATAACTTCACTCTCTAATCCTCATACTGAGAATGACTGTATATGATTTGAGGATTTCGACTATATTTTTAGGTTCATGAAAATTATTAGGTTCATGATTGATTAGGAGCCCTATATCCACTGACGCGGTACGACAAGCCTGCTTTTAACTGAATATGTGCGATCTTTCCTATCATTCTCATTCGTCTCTATTTCAATCCAATTCAATCTAGTCATTTATAAAGCGCCTTTTTTTACAGATTCGAAACGCTGCACCCAACATACCTATGCACCTCACAACCCACAGGCAGTCATGATCATCGGCTAACCCAAGCAACAAATCAAAGCAACCCAAGCAAACAAATAAAAAGAAGCAGTGGCAAAAGTTCGGAATGATAAATAAATAATGCAACAATAAATTAAATGGAACTAAAAATTTCTACCCTTCCTGATATATTCCTAAGCTTTTGGAGTCCATAGGGAGGTCGGCTTTACCCAGAACCAAAACCAGGGTCAACTCTAGATTGCTGATTATCTGCCTTTTAATGAGAGCCGAGCTACATTTGGGGACGTTTCTCTATAATAGTAACAGGAACTGGGTGTGTAGGGTTGTGTTGAAGTGGGGCTGTGAGCATTGTGGAAAGAGAAGGCAGTAAAAATCAATGGCATGAATCTAACGAAATAGCACAGAATAGAGTTTGACTATAAGGTCTTATACACATGCAAGAGGACAGATGGTAATAGTGTTGATGTTTATAAACTGCCTCTCCTTTTAGAACATTTTCAGATGTGAAATAGCGGCAATAGCTAGCAGAAGAACAAAATGTAGCAAGTACGTACGTATTTTATTTTATTCTATGAAAATTACGATTAACAACCAAAAAGCCTAATGAAATTATTTGAAGAGCATATTTCACAATACAATATTTAACATAAATAATAACTTACATATTTTAAATTACAGTATTTATTATAAATGTTGATATAGGCAAATTTAGTATTAAAACATAATTATCATATTAATATGGTATCGATGTACATGGCTCCCAGGTGCAATTTTGACATAAAGTTATTGGTAGCAAAATTATTATGCCATCACCATGCTCATCGTCACCGTAGTCCTCTCCATCTCCGTCGCCACCACCTCTATCATAAGCTGCGGCACCTAGACTGGTTTCTAGTCCTAAACGTTGTCTTAATCAGTGAAAAGGCTTAAGAATAAATCTTTTTTGGCATTAATGGCGTTCCATATTTCTTATTTGCATGGCGTTAAATAATATACTTTTTCTGGTATTAATTCGCATCAAAACGTTTCTCGACATAAACTGATGCTGGTGGCGCTTTCCGAAATGTGCTAATACTACGAAAAATCAATAAATTAAAGACTTGTGGCAAGTCTGTGCGGCTCCCAGACGAACTGACAATATTTGTATTGACGAATATATTAGTTCTATAAACGTCATCATTAATTTGTGTCCTTATTCATTAGTAAGATTCACTATTGTCATGTTCATCAATGTTAACTACTACCTGTTATTCAACGAATGTCAACCATAGGAACCATCTCAAATTAAATTATTCAAAAAAATGTTCGTTTTCCGCACGAAAATAATCTACACGAAGCGTTGCGAAATTTCTTAATCCTCCAAAGGTATATAAATGGATTGGACAAAGAATTTATCAATATAAGTTCGAATCCTATCATATAAGATACCGTAAGCGCCTCGTCACAATACTCAAAACTCATGTTACTAAGAATAATTACGATGCAGTACGGCAACCAGCAGACAACAAAGATACCGAGAATCAACGAGAAGGTTACAAGCAGACGATCAGAGTTAAACTTTTCCCGCTTACTTCTAAATGAATTCGTTTTCGGTTCGTGTTGCCGTACACTCCAGTATATAGCGATGTATAGGATAACAATAAAGACAATAATACCTGTGATAAAAGACGGGGTGGTAAGATACATTTCTGCACGATAATTCCCGACGTAACCTGGAACGGTTATGGCTATGATTAATATCCAATTGAAAATACAAAGAATTAAAATTGTTTTTGTGGAGATCTTTTTACGCTCAAACGGCCTCCATACGATAATAATGAACCGTTCTAGTGCTATAGAACCGATTGTGCAGAGAGACACCGATATTGAAATGTCACTTACTGAGAACATTACCTGGACGAAGGTCGTTTGATCCCCCAGAGCGATAAGCGTAGCCAAACTTGATAATGCAAATATCCCATCAGAAAGAGCCAAGGAACATGTAAAAATATTCTGTCTTCTTTGGAGTTCCTTAGTACTAGCAATAACGACAATGACACCAATGTTCACAACAGCTGAAATAACGCTAGTTATTATTGCAAGAACAACACCGGCATCGTATTTATTGAGCGTCACTTTCGCTAGCGACACTGATAGGTTGCAAAATTGTATCAAGATTTCGTTCACGTTATTCTCATCAGTACTCAAGTTTGCCATTACGAATATTCAATTATCATCTATCGTCAAACTCAATTACAGAAAATACTTATACGATACAGTAGTAGTGTATTTTAAACTGAGCAGTTTTGAATCGTGTCAAATAAGTTTCATAAAAAAAATGTAAACATACAGCAGGGTAGGCCGAATTCACCGGAAGAGATAACCTTTGAGAGCTTCCAATATTATGCTGGTATGTCTAGCATAATACAAGAAATTACAAGTAGAAAAGTGCATAAGGGAATATTTTAAATAAGACGAACCCACCTAAAATCAGTTAGTCTGAATCTATTACTAGTTCGCAAATCAACCTTCAGCTGTACAAATGAATGTTTTAGTCATCAGAGCTTGTTGAATTACTATCTCAGAATTTTAGTTTCGATACACGTGTATATAAGGCCTATAAGAACGGTGGTGTATTTTGTTTTTGTCTGTAAATTAGTGACAGAAACATGTTCTTGTTCCACTTTTTTAAAACTATATCTACAGTAATGAACTTGAAATTGTAGATTAAACCAGCCTGGGTTCAAGACCTTAATGTTGGGTTATTTACTCTTAATTGCACTTAGTGCGTGCCATACCTAATCTAATTGGCGTCCCATATTCGATTTTTTTTTTAAATTCTATTCCGTCGATTCCGTCCATAGAGCTATTAAGCAACTAGTGTGCTGACAAGATGGCGAAGCAATGCAGAGTTGTGTATGCGTACCATCCAAGATGGCCGCCGTAGGAAAGCGCCACCTTCAGGCTTAGTATATATATTAATACCATAAATAAGCCCTCTGACTGACTATTATTTCATTAATGATAATTAGTATTGATAAAAACAAATTATTAAACTATCGTAGCCAAAAAGAGGAAAAGTAGAGCACCTTATTCAAAAATAAACAAAAATTAAAATTGTGTGCAAATTGAGGGCGCCATTGAAAATGATAGTGCTTAGGCGAAATTTGATTGGCTGAATATGGCAGCCATCTTGGACGGTACACCTACACGCACACAACTCTGAGTATTTCGGACATCGAATACATTGCAGTTACTAGCGCTCTAGCATTCTTATTATATCTCTGATTCCGTCCCTAATTAACTTGCTCGCTGGTGGCGCTGTCCAGAATGCGAAAAAAATAATAAGGGCATAGCTTGCTTTAACATCAATGCGTCTAAATTCAATTGCTCTAGTGTAAACCAATATTTAAAGAGTTTAGCATAATCTTGATCTGAATTCGAATCTGAACCAATGGAGGCTTAAGTCGTCTTAAGATGTCTGTATTGTATCACGCAACTTGGCAGTACTTAAGAACTGCAATTATAGAGGACAACAAATATGATTTATAAACTTCTCTTATAATCAAAATGTTTGTGCTACATTCACGGACATGCTGACAGAGACGGCTTAATATGGCTGCTCAACTTTGAAAATCAACATGTTTGTTTTAGTTCAAGTGCAACCCCATCATCCTTAGGCCTAATTTTTAGTTCATTGTTGTTTTAGTGTTGTTAGACGGTCTTTAAGCAATCGATGATTGTAATATTGTTTCCAAGGCCACCATATTAAAGTCAATCAAGGAAATGGCTTTCCGCTTCTTTTTTTTTTTTTTTTTTTTTTTTTCCTTTTTATCTCCGATTAGGAGCTCTGGAAACACTCGGCTGATTGATTATTCTGATTGATTAATAGATCTTTTTATGTATGGGCAGCCGTTAGGGCCGATATTAGAGAAATTGTTTTGTTTTTATGGGGTTTTTTTTTTGTCTTTCGTGGGTGCATCCCACCTTTATTTCAACCATCGCAGAATAATTTTTGCAAAATTTGTTTTCAAAGAGTTATGTCAATATAATTTTTCCTACCGGGAATATTAATTTTTCCACAATGTATTGCGAAGTACGCAATAAATAATCCTAAGTAACATGAGGGTAATTTAGGTATGGAGATACAAATCCACAGCTATTTGAGATAAACATTATTCCCTATCGGATCCGAGCCCAAGACCTTTCAATTACTGTTCGAATACGATAAGCATTCACATAATTAAAATATATATCTACACATGGAGGAAATATATTAATATATTAATATATTTCCTCCATGATCTACACATCTTTTTATGTATGGGCAGCCGTTAGGGCCGATATAAGAGAAATTGTTTTTTAAATAACTTATTATGCAAGGCGGCTGGACCAATCGAGTGTTATATACTGTATTCTCATTTGCATATTTCTTTGGCCTCAATTACTGGTGTTATTTGTAGTCAACTTCCGATTACCGATATTCTCTGATTACGAATCGAGCTAATTCTGGAGTCGTCTTCACAGCATATTAACGGAAGGTACTGTAGTTGATGTTTTTACGTTATAATAACGTTGCAGATTGGTATTCAAAACTTTATTTTGTAAAACCTTAAATACGTATTTATAACGTAATTTCTGACTAAATAACGTTTCAAGCGTTGCTACAGCCTCACAGTGTTAACGTAATTTTTTAACATAACCTCACAACAACGTTTACAGCGCAAAACATTTCATTTTTGCTGGGCGGAATTTGTTTACTACAAGCCGTATCTAGGCTATCGAATTTCATTTGACAAAAACATATGACATGCCTAAATATGGTCATGATGACATCACATTATGGCCATATATAAGCACATCATGAATATATATGGTATACAACGGAGGATTTTTTGTAAAGACAAATTGATAGTGTGGAGAGGTTACAGATTCGTCTTTCTTGCACATTGTTGCAAATCATGATGAGCTTGTGGTTTTGTCACAGTGTTGTTTTGTTTGACCTTCTTGAGGAAGGCATTTTCCTTTCCTGTATTTGGCAATCAGTTCCTGGACAAAACAAAACAATAGAAAATAATATGCCTGTGATAGATAGAATTAAGGTTTTGGTTTCGTATGGAGGAATGGTCCGCATATTCCCAACCAAAAATACCTACTCACATCAATATTAAGACACGTCCATTTTGTAACTACTTTACCGACAACTGCATTATGTTGACGTTAACATTTCGTTCTAACTGACACGTGTTGCGAGCTGTAGAAGATTGATGAGGTTTTCTTGTTTAGCTCTAAGGGAGAAGACGCTATCCGAGAGACACACTTTCTGGAAAATATATATTCGTTTGATTCAAAAGGTATGTATGTTGTTTAGTTTATATGGCCGTGGGTTTAAAATATATTATATACCAAATTATCTGTATATCAGTGCGTTTTTATTGGCCGTGGATCGGGGTTATTTACAATACTATAATTTGAATATTTCAAAAGATAAGCAATCATTGCTAATTGGTGACACTCTCAGCTGATTTGAGAACACATGTCGTAATGCAGCAATTAGTTTATTAATTTTTTGTTTTTATAACAAATTGTAACTTTTTATTTTTGTAACTGACAACAATTTTGTTTGTATGCCAACGCCTCGTTTTAAAATTACAAGTATAAATATTCTGTATGCGGCAGTTTGGCGCAGCGGTTGAGGTTTGGGCGTTCAATATAGG